GATGAGTGCATTAGAAAACTATGGTACATTTACACAATGGAATACTACTCTGCTATAAAAAAGAAGGAATTCTTACCATTTGCAGCAGCATGGATGGAACTGGAGAGCATTATGCTAAGTGAAATAAGCCAGGCAGTGAAAGAAAAATACCACATGAACTCACTCATTTATGGATAATAAAGAACATTATAAACTGATGAACAAAAAGATAGATACAGAGGCAAAGAAGCTTGGAACAGACTGTCAAATTACAGTGGGAAGGCTGGGGAATGCTGGGGGGTGGGCAAGAGATCAACCGAAGGACTTATATGCATGCATATAAGCACAACCAATGGACACAAGACCCTGGGGGTGGGGTGGGGTGAGGGCATGTGCCTGGGGGTAGGGGAGGCCGAGGGAAGGTCAATGGGGAAAAAAAGGAGACATATGTACTACTATTTGTAATACTTTAAACAATAAAATAAAAATTTTAAAAAAAGAAGCCAAGTTTATTTCCCAATTAAAAGAAAATTTCCTGACAGGCAGACACACCCACACACCCACAACCACACTCACAACAGTTCTTCCACACCTGCCTGGTTTCTCCGGGGACGCCAGCCCTCTCTGGGCGCCTGGGTCCCGGCTGCAGCTTACCCCAGTCGTCGTTCGCATTCGGTCTCATCAGAACCTGCAGCACGCACGCAGACACTGGTTTTTACCCACGTGATCACCTCCGGACACTAACGCCAGTCAGGCGTGCAATTCCACGCAGCAAGTGCAGGCCTCAGGGTTATTCTGGGCTCCATTTGCTTTTTGTTGTTGGTTTGTGTTTTTGTTGTTGTTGTTTGTTTGTTAATCCTCACCTGAGGACATTTTCCAATTGGCTTTTAGATAGAGTGGAAGGGAGAGGGAGAGACAGAGAGGGCGAAATGTCAGTGTGAGAGAGACACATCAATTGGGTGCCTCCCGTATGTGCCCCATCAGGGCTGGGGATTGAGCCTGCAACCGTGTACGTGCCCTTGACCAGATTCAAACCTGGGGCCCTTCTATCTGTGGGTGGATTCTTCATCCACTGAGCCAAACCCCGTGAGGGCTGGGCTCCATTTTTTAAGTTCTAATGAATGGCTCCGGAAAGAGCTTAAAGTTTATTTTTTAAATGGGGTATGGAGGGAGTCTAATTGATGTGTGCAGGTTTGTTGTTGCTAATTCTCACCTGAGGATATTTTTTCCATTGATTTCTAAAGAGAGTGGAAGAGGAAGAGAGGGGGGAAAAGAAAGAGAGAGAGAGAGAGAGAAAGAAAAGAGAGAAACTTCGATGTGAGAGACACCCATCGATGGGTTGTCTCCTGCTCGTGCGCTGACTGGGCCCGGGGATTGAACCTGCAGCCCAGGGACGTGCCCTTCACCGGGAATTGAACTTGAGACCCTTTCATGCATGGACCGACGCTCTAACCACCGAGCAACAGCAGCCAGGGCGATGTGTGCGTTTCTGAAGGAGCACCAGCTTCCTCTTGAGTGATGGCCAGCTCTTACGATGGCAGGTGCTGAGAAGTGTTGTAGCCTTCATCAAAAAGCCAAGGACTTTATGGCGGTGGAATAACTATCATTAACAACAACAAAAATGGCAGTAAAAGCAGCACCAGCCACCCTGGGCTGAACCCCTTGGCCAGGACAGCCGGCTTACCTGATATTTTATCACCCGAGCCTTGTTTTATCTTCACCCTGTTTATCAAGGGTCTGCCCCCTGCTGCCAGGGCTGGACTGACATGCCCCTGGCAAACCCTTCCCATCCCAGTCCCCGTGTATTCTCACGCCGCCCTGGGAGGCTGGGTGTGTCCCATCGCACAGCTGAGGGAGCAGGGGTCGGAGAGGTCCAGGCACTGGCCCAAGGCCACACGGCCGCAAAGGGGAGCGCCTGGATTTGAATTCGGTCAGCCCGCTCAGCCCTGCTCCTTACCTGGCCCACTTGCCTGAGGCCTCACCTCTCCCCCGACTCAGGGCGGATGACTCGCCCTTGGCGGACCTCTGAGGACACCTTTAAACTGGGACTGTGGGTCAGAGGGATTGCGAATCCTTTCTCCAGCTTTGTCCCCCAAACTTAAGATGATGTGTCACCTAGGGAAAAAATAAAATAAAAAATGGAACCGCTTTCAAACGAGCAGGCGCTGCCATCCCAGAGGAGCTGCCTTGCACACCTGAGGCCTCACACCTTTGGGGTGTGAAAGCCACCTTTGGACTGGGCCGAAAGCAAGCTGGGCCGGAAAGCACTGTTTGCAAAGATAATAAGAAGCAGATACTGTGACTTCCAGGCGGAGAGTGAAAACATTGCTTAGAATCAGCGGCACCGTGTTGCCTTTTCTGCACTAAAAGCAACGCCTTCCTGCTGTGGATGGAACTGTCCCCTCCCCTCCCTTCCCTTCCTCATCAATACCCACCCTTTGTCTCCTCATCAGAACTATTGGGTTTCTGCCCGAGTCAGTGCCTGTGGAATAGCTGTTCTTATTGATCTCAAGTAACTGCCGTTGCCTCTGACTCGGAAAAGCCCTTTTGTCTCTAGGCGACTCCCTGGCACTCTGGCCCAGCTTCTGCGATGTGAAGGCAGAGCTTCCTGAAGCGTGTTTTGGGGTGTTTCCCTGGAAAAGGGCTCTGCTCCTTCTGAGGAAGCGGGGCGGCTCCGGGGAATGTCCCAGAACCCCGAGCCCTTCAGAGCCTGTGGAGGGGCTCTGGGCTCTCCTGAAAGTGACGGCCATCGGTGGGTCACTTTAGAAATAACCTGGATTTGTTATCTATTGCTGAGTAACGAATCCCCCCAAACCTAATGGCCTGAAACTCTCTGTGACCTCACAGCTCCCGTGGGTCAGGAATCCAGGGGCCTCTGAGCTGGGGCCTCTGGGCCAGGGTCTCTCACAGGTGGTGGCCTTCACAGGCTCCACTGGGAAGGATCAGCTTCCCAGTTCATTCACAAGCTTGCTGGTGGGTGGGGCTTGCTGGTGGGTGGGGCTTGCTGGTGGGTGGGGCTTGCTGGTGGGTGGGGCTTGCTGGGGGTGGGGCTTGCTGGTGGGTGGGGCTTGCTGGGAGGTTGAGGCCTTTGCTGGCTGTTGGATGAAGGCCCCACTCAGGCCCTCATGAGCTGCTGGGCGTGGTTTCCCTTCCTTCCTTCTTTGTCGCGTGGGCATCTCCATAGAGGACAGTGGGGCCTTGACTTACGAGTTTAATTCGTTTGGTGACCGAGCTCGTAACTCAAATTACTCATATGTCAAATCATTAAAGTGAACGAGTGAGACACGTGATGCTGGGCTGATGTTGTGGCTTTCACTGTGACATTCGCTGTGGGGTATCTGAAGCTGGCTCGTAACCTGAATTTTAGATCGCAACTCAAAGGAAAAAATCGGCCGAGAGGTGGCTCGTATCTCGAAAAACTCATTAGTCGGGACACTTGTAAGTCAAGGCCCCACTGTATCTCATGACACAGCAGCTGGCTTCATCAGGGAGAGTAGGAGGAGGGGAGAGGGAGAGAGGGGAGAAGCTTCAAGATGGAAGTCACAGTCCCTTGTAACCTAGCCTGGGAAGTGGCCTCCTGTCACCTTTGCACACTTTCTATGGAAGAGTCACTGGATCCATCCACACTCAGGGCAGGGCCTGCACATCCACACATGCTTGGTGATAAACCTGAACCAGACCGGACAAGGGGTTCCTTAGAGTCTTGATTCCATTTAGTGTCAATATTTGAACATTTTGTTACAAAAACCTTAATGGGTTTTTATTTGTGGGGTGGCTGCCCCAGACTTTGCCAGAGGGTTATGTAATATGCAGGTGACATGCTTTTTAAAATCTACAACTTCCTAAATTCTAGACACTTCTGATCTCACATCTTTGGACACTGAGGTTACCCAGGTGTGTTTGAGTGTGTAAGGCTTGTGTTTTCCAGTAGTTTTATTCGATCCTGTGATGATTTTCTTATAACTCAACCTGGGAGTTTCTACTCTGTCTTGGGCTGCAATGTGCTTGTGACAGAATCCATTCTGAGTCCAGGCCGAACTCTGTTTGGCATCATTTCAGAGGCCACTCATTCTGAGCCCCACTGGAGGCTCATCGCTGTGATGTCTGTTACCATGGTGCACACGGGACCGCCAGCCTCGCCTCGACCTTGGGAATGTGGCATTTTACAGCGTGTAGTGACATTTATCCCATTTAAAACCCACAAAGAGGTTGATTTCCATAGATTACATGTCAAGCTTGAAACCGTCCAGGGTGATTGAATCTTCCAGTGCTGTCCACGCGATTCTCTACCAAAGCTGTTGGTGGGGCCCTGCTGCTCTGTTAGGAGCCTGGGGTGTGGCCAAGTGCCTGGGTTGGGGCTGAGTCTAGGGCGGTAGGTGCAGGTACGAAGGAGCCCCACCCTCCGCTCCCCAGAGACAAACACAAACCAGCTTCCCAGGCGGCCTGCACACTGCACGCCCCTCCTCTGGGGATGTGGGGAGGCCGCAGGCTTTCCCTGTAGCTCCTTCCACCAGCTGGACGCCCTCCCCCTCCCCCGCCCTTTGTAGGACCTGAGCAGAGCCAGGCAGGGAACAAGGGGTTGATGTCCGCTTCCCCGAGGGGAAGGAGAGTGGCTGGTTGGCCAGCCCAGCTGCTGGGTTGGATGGGGTGGCGGGGGCAGGTAAGCAGGAAGTTTCATGCAGACCCTGGGGGGAACCTCCTGTTCTGGAAACTTCCGCTCACCCACAACGGGCTGTTGACATTGCAGATCTCCTGGGGCAGAAGAGTCACTCTTCCTGAGGACAGGCCCAGAGCACCCGGTCCACAATCTCATTACAAAAGTGGAGTGACAGGGACTGTAAGCAGCATTGAAGGGCCTGGACAAGCAACTTTAAAATTAAAGCACACTGTTTTTTTTAAAAGCCGTACCTAGAAATTCCCAAGGTACCCAAAGAAAATTCAGAGAACCAATGCTGTCTTATTTATTACAGTAGCCAAGAATGAGTGTTATGAGAATGTTCTGGAAGGGGGGTATTGATGAATTGACAATGTCAGAGGGCTATTCTGTGTTCTTTGCCCTGGGAGCTTTCTTTCCTGGGCGTGGGCGCCGGTGCCTGGCGGTCCGCCCTGCGCTGCCCCAGCGGCCGCGTCCAGGGCTGGACTCAGTGGATGCCCTGCTTCGGCCAGCCGAGCTCCCTGGCATAGGCGCCCTTGCAGCTCCTGATCTCCGATCCGTACTCCAGGCACTTGTTCAGGCCCGGCACCCCTGACCGCCAGCCGATGAAGCCCTGCGTGGTCTTCGGAACCGGGGGCGAGGGGAGGACCTGGGAGGGAGATGCAGCGGTCAGTCACCTGGGCAGCGGCATGAGGAGTGTCCACGGAGGCCCCCGACCCACGCTAGGCCTGGTGTGGAAGGACGGCAAGCGAAGCCAGGGCCCGGGAGGCTCAGGCCCAGCCAGGTGTGCGCCCGCAGTCATGCTCACAGACACGTTCCTGTAGCTCGTTGGACTCCTGTCCGCCAGTACGTGATTCTTATTTGATAAAGGAACAAACAGCGGGAAAAGGAAGGTGCAGAAATATCAAACACCGCCCTTCATAAAATCTGTGACGATATTGCCAGATGGGTTTCTGGTAGTTATAAACCTTCCGGCTTTGGTTAGAAGGGTTTATGATGTGAGTACACACACACACACACACACACACACACACACACACACCCCCCAGAGACCACAGGGATGAAAAGCAATTGAACTTAATTAAAATCCAAAAGCAAAACGGGATTCTATCTGAAAGGAAAAGCCCCCACGCAATTTCAACTGTCACTTCCTTGGACAGACTTGAAATTTTTGGAACGTGAGGGTAAATGTTCAGGCAGTTCCCTCTCCCTGTGAAGCGATCGTCTGTCCTGCTCTCACGGGTGATCTGAGTGGAGAAAACGGTGAGAAATTTGTTCCCACGGAAGCACTGAGATGAAGAGGTTTAATATGCTGGGGTTATGAGTTCACGCTTGGCTACAGCATCTTGGCGAGGCGTGGTGGGAGGGGCGGTCCTGGTGGGCCAGCTGCCACTGGTGGGTGAAGCCCTTAACATGTGTTCTTGATGAAGCATTAAAATTAATCTCCTGAGAGGCCACAAGCAGGGAGGGTCGTCCATAAGCGCCAGAGGATCGCAGTTTCCCGCATCAGCTAGGGGGGAGCTGTCCCAGACCGGCCCTTGGGAACATGCAGTCCTGCCTTCAAGCCTCCCTCCAACTTGTAGGAGAAACACAACTGAAAACCTGCCTTGGTTGCAGGCTCCATCCCTGGCCCAGGTTGGGGGGCCGTGAGGGAGGCCGTGATGTGTCTCTCTCACATCAATGTTTCTCTCTCTGCCTCTCCCCCTCCCTTCCGCTCTCTCTAAAAAAATCAATGGAAAAATATCCTCGAGTGAGGATTAACAACAAAAAGCAAATAAAAAAGGAACACAAAAAACCACCCAGGAGGCCACGCTTCACCCACCAGATTGGCAAGGAAATGAAAACAGCACCCTAACAAGGGCATCCTGGGAGAGCAGGTTGGTTCATTCTCTGTGAAGGGCCATGTTGCCGTTGTCTCCGAAAGTGGCCCCCTTCATCCTGAGTTTTCATCTTCTCTTCCCGTCAGGACACAGAACTGCTTTTTCCGCAGCTGAGCAGAGGGCAGACCCCAAGATGAGAATGACGGGCCCATGACGGGCTCCAGGGACCTACGGAGCTGAGCAATTTCTAGTCTCTGACCACCTCCACAGCTGACTGGCCTCCATGGGAACACCTTCTCAGTCTTCTCCCCTCTGGGGTAGCCCTGACACTCATCAGCAACCAGGGAGATCTCACGCCCTGCTTTCCATTGCAGATTGGGTTCAAATCCCAACTGCTCCTCTGGTACCTGAGGTCCGGTGGGAGCTGGCCCTGCCCACTTCTCCATCCACAGCCCTTCCTGCCCCACCCCTCTCCCACCCCAGCCCACCAAGCTCCAGACACATCAACATCCCTTGCTGCTCCTGAAACATTGCAACCTTTGTTGTGCCTCAGGGCTTCCGTACATGCTGTTCCCTTTTCCGGGAATGCTTTTCCCTGGGCTGGCTCCTTGCCATTCTTCAGTCCTCAGCTCCGCAGGGGCTTTTCTGACCACCCCATCCCCTGTATCCTCCAACATCACCTGCCTGTTTCCTCCATGGCATCTAGCACAGTGTATAACGATTTTGTTGATTTTCTTGTTTCACGTTGGTGACCCCAACCCACATGTGTGAGCTGGAGTCTTGCCTTCTAGTTCATCGCTGTTTGCCCAGCCAAGCACCTGGCCCCTCCTCACAGCCTGCAGTCACTGGCACGCTCTAAAAGTGCTGGGCACAGGTCTAAGTCCTTCCCAGCATCCTCTCCTGGGCCCGACGCCACCCCTGAAGTAGGTGCTTTCATGAGCTCCCATTGTGCAAGGTGGAAATAGAGATACAGAGAGGTCAGGCCACTGCCCAAGACCCCCAGGAGGGGAGTGGCTGAGTGATCTGACTCCAGAGCCCCGCCTTCCCTGCCCTGCTTCCCTGCACCCCCTGTAAGTGTTGGATCCAGCCCCTCATTGTCTTGGCTCCCCTCTGCCTCTTCAAAGCTGGATGCAGAGTGTAGAGCAGCCACCTGCTGTGCGGGTGTGGAGAGGGCCTGGAAACGGCACCCCCACCTGCCAGGCACGGCTGAGTTCTTACCTTGGGCGGCTGGCTGTCTGCACCTGCACCAAACACATGCTGGGTGGGGTGGGGGGGCGGTTCTTGCTCACATCGGGAAGCAAGTGTTTAAAAACAACTTTGCAAACCTTGATATATTTCTCCACGGGGGTCACCGGCCGGATGTGGAACCTCTGGGGAAGCTCGATCCTGGGCTTTGGGGCGGGGGGTCCATCTTCACATTCGATCAACTGAAACACAATCCCAGACACAGGACACCCCAGACTGAGAGGGTGGATGCGCCCTCTTCATCGGCCCCTAGAACTCAGCGTTTTACAGATGACAACGCCTGTCCCCACTGCAGCTAGAAAGGGGCAGCGGGGCCTTGCAGGCCGCTAACTGTGGTGCCCCCGCTCGCCCTGCAGTCTGCTCATCATATTCCCGAGGAGTAGTTTGAGGGGACTTCAAGATTATGGGCTCAAATTAAAAAATGCCAACCAGGCTCAGGACCAACCTTTTCAGACAAGAGCCATCCATTTCTCCTTTTAATTTTTGTTGTTATATCAGTATCACCTGAGGATATTTTTTTCATTGATTTTTCAGAGAGAATAGAAGGGAGGGAGAAGGGGAGAAGAGAAAAAGAGAGAGGGAGAGAGAGGAACATTGATTAGAGAGACACATCGACTGGTTGCCTCCCTCACGTGCCCCAATGGGGGGCAGGAAGCCAACCTGCAACCCAGGTACTTGCCCTTGACTGGAAACTGAACCCGAGAGCCTTCGGTGCTCGGGCCAACGTCCCAACCACCGAGCCACTCTGGGCAGGGCCCCCATTTAATTTTTAAAGCAATTTTGAACTCTTCAAGAATCCAATTTAAATTACATATAAAGAATATTAATATAGATTCTTTTTATGCATATTATATTAATAAGAACTCATTTTTGCCCTAGCTGGTTTGGCTCAGTGGATGGAATGTCAGCCTGCGGACCAAAGGGTCCCGGGTTTGATTCTGGTCAAGGGCCTGTACCTTGGTTGTAGGCTCCTCCCTGGCCCGGGCCCTGGTCAGGGCTTGTGCAGGAGGCAACCAATAGATGTGTTTCTCTCACACTGATGTTTCTCTCCGTCTTTCCCTTTTTCTTCCACTCTCTCTAAAAGAAGAAAATCAATGGAAAAATATCCTCTGGCGAGGATTAATAATAACAACAAAAAAACAACAACTCACTTTATGCATAAAATTTCCAATTGTACAATACTCTTAAGTATTCAACAAGCTCATTAAGAATGGCATCATTTCAAAGCTAGTGGGGTGGGCAAGTTACAAATGGGGTTGACGCCACCTTGACTCAGGATCGTTCTGAATTAGGTGGCGCTTATTTGGTTCTGCGACCCTCCAAGGACATGCGGCTTCTTCGTGTCACAGCTGGAGAGAGCTCAAAAGGGTGAAGCCTGGTGGCCGCCACCCCAGTCTTCGTTAATGGGCATAAACAAGCAACCCTCCGCACAGGGGTTGTTGTGCGGGTTAAATACGCTGCTTCGGAGGCAGCACCTAGGACCTGCGGGGCACATAGTAAGCGCTCAATAAATCCAGGAAGGGAAGGACCCTTCAGGTTTCAGAGGTGGCAGTCTTTGCCGACCACATGCTCTTTAATTTTATTCTTGCAAATTATACACTTCATAACCATTTATTCTTGGAAATGATTGATTCTATTACCTCTGGACTCATAAAATTTATATTTACCTCCTCAAGAGGGGTTGTTAAAAATCCCCAGTTCTGGGCCCAGTTTTGCTGTGCTTCGGTCTCAGCCTTCAGGCGGTATCTCCTAAAAAAGAAAGTTCCTAAGGGCTGGACAATATTCAGCAAGGTTAAAGTAGCAAATCCCAAAGGTTCACAGGGGAATCTGGCATTTGTCAATGTGCAGGCACTGACGAGGTTCTGTGCCAGGAGGGATCCTGTCACTGAGACCCTCACAGGACTGTGAGGAAGACTCGTACCTGGAGAGCCAGAGGTGCTGGCTGGATGGCACAGTGGGTGCAGACAGGAAGGGGGCTGACTGCCTCAGGGGCCATCTGGGTACTTAATCTTGGAGGCCTCTGACCCACAGTGATGAGCATGTGTTAAATCATTAAGGAAGTTCATAATAAGTACCTTTGTTCTCAGGGCAAGGACTGGGATGGGGTGAGTGAGGCACCTGGGGTGCAAGATGTAAGGAGGCACCCACTCCCAGGTTCCTGCAAGGGCACAGCCAGCACTTACATGACCTTGAGCTTGAGCCCTCCTTAAACATCCACCCAGCTGCCTCACTGGTCCCATCCTGCTTTTACTTCACATTAAGAAGCTGAGTTGACAGTAGAAAATGATGGCGGATTAAGTGGAAACTATACTGACACTCTCCCAGGGCCAAACTGGAATTTCAACTAAAATACAGAAAAACCATCCTGAATAATCAACTGAAGACTAGCTGGAGAGAACCCTGATACCCAAGGATGGAAAGTGGAGACCACATAGAGACTGGTAGGAAATTTGAAGGTGCAAAAGGGCTGGCCAGGCTCCAACAGACAGCAGCTGAAGTTCTGGAGGAATATCTCAGCTGTTGCGGGTTCCACTGAGAACTCTTGGGTCTAAATCCCAAGTTGGACTCCGCAGCCCAGAGCACCAGAACTGAGAAAGGTGCCCACATCACATCTGGCTGTGAAAAGCAGTGGGGTTGCTGTCTGCCAGGGGGCGATGGCTAGAAATGCAGGCACCCTCTTAAAGGGCCAATCACAAAATTTCATGTGCAGCCACTCACCCTGAGCTCCAGCAGAGGGAGGAGAGAGTGGAGTAGAGCAGTGTGAGGAGCATCCAGGGTTGAGGGCTCTGGGGTTAGAGCTTGGAAGTCAGCCACTATGGTTTCCTGTGCTGAGTCATTCCCTCATACTGCAGACATCTTTTCTGGGCAGACCTTTACTATCCAGGCAGCTTTTGCCTGGGGACAAGGTAAGAAATTGCTCTAACCTGTTGGAAAACCTCTCACCCCGCCCAGTGGAGTTTCTGAGGCTCATTTTTCCTCATAAAGGAAAAAGTCATGCAAGTTCAAGAGGCACAGAGAGTCCCAAGCAAGAAGAACCCAAACAGGCCCACACCCAGGCACATAATTAAAATGCCATAAATTAAAGACAAAGAGAGAATCTTAAGGGCAGCAAGAGAAAAGCAAACTTACCTACAAAAGAGCTCCCATATGGTGGTCAGCTAATTTTGTATGAGAAACTGTATAGGCCAGAAAAGAATGGCATGGAGTATTCAGGATAATGAAATGTAAGGATCTAAAACCAAGACTACTATATCCAGCAAGGCTATCATTCAAAATAGATGCTGAAGCAAAGAGCTTCCCAGACAGAAAAAGGCTAAAGGAGTTTATCACTATCAAGCCAGCATTGTAAGAAATACTAAAGGGACTGCTATAATAAGAATAGAAAGAAAAACCGAGACATAAAGAATTAAAATGGCAATAAATAAGTACCTATTAATAATAATTAAATGTAAATTTACATATGCTCCAATCAAAAGACATAGGGTAGTAGAATGGATAAGAAAATATGACCCAAATATATGCTGTCTACAAGAGATCCACCTCGGAACAAAAGACACACACAGGAAGAGAGTGAAGTGATGAAAAAACATTTTCTATGCAAATGGAAACAAAAAAGCTGGGGTAGCAATACTCATAACTGACAAAATAGACTTCAAAATGAAGGCCATAACAAAAAACAATAAAGGTCATTACATAATACTAAAGGGATCAACCAACAAGATTATATATCACTGGTAAACATATATGCACCGAATATAGGTGCACCTAAATATATAAATAAACTTCTGGAGGACTTTAAGGGAGAGACCAACAGCAATACAGTCATAGTAGGGGACTTTATACCCTGCTGACTTCACTGGATAGATATTTCAGACAAAAATCAACAAGGAAACAATGATTCTAAAGGATACACTAGATCGTATGGATTTAATTGACATTTATAGAACATTTCACCCCAAAGCTGCAGAATATACATTCTTCTCAAGTGCACATGGGAAATTTTCAAAGATAAACTACATGTTAGCATGCAAAATAAGTCTCTACAAGTTCAAGAAGACTGAAATCATATCAGGCATCTTCTCACACCACAATGACATGAAATTAGGAATCAACTATAGTAAAAAGATTTTAAAAACCTCAAATAGATGGAGGCTAAATAGCATGTTTTTAAACAACGAATGGGTTACCAATAGGATTAAGAAAGGAGTAAAAAACTTCCTGGAAACAAATGAAAATTAACACACAACAACCCCAGATCTCTGGGACACAGTGAAAGCAGTACTGAGAGGGAAGTTCATGGCACTACAGGCCTATCTGAAAAAAAAAAATTATAAACTATCTAACCCTACAACTTAAAGAATTACAAAGAGAACAACAAGAAAATCCCACAATAAGTAGAAAGAAGGAAATAATAAAGACCAGAGTGGAAATAAATGACATAGTGACTAAAAAAAATAAAAAATACAAAAGCCATTGAAACCAAGAGCTGGTTGTTTGAAAAGATAAACAAGATTGATGAACCTTTGGCCAGAATCATCAAGAAACAAAGAGAGGAGACCCAAATAAATAAAATAAAAAATGAAAGTGGTGAAGTAACAACTGACACCACAGATATACAAAGGATTGTAAGAAAGTACTATGAACAACTATATGACAACAAGCTGGACAATGTGAATGAAGTGAAAAACTTACTACGAAAATACAATCTTCCAAAACTGAATCAGGAAGAATCAGAAAACCTGAATAGGCCAAGAACAGCTGAGGAAATAGAAGCAGTAATCAAAAAACTCTCAGCAAAAAACCCCTGGTCAGGACAGCTTTACAGGGGATTTTTACCAAACATTCAAAGAAGAAATATCACCTATTCTTCTCAAACTATTAAAAAAAATCCAAGAGGAATGAACACTTGCAAGCTCTTTTTATGAGGCCAGCATTGAATTAATTCCAAAACCAGAAAAAGACACTACAAAGAAAGAGAATTGCAGGCCATATCCCTCACAAACATAGATGCTGAAAACCTCAACCAAATATTAGCAAATCACATCCAGCAATATATTAAAAAAGATCATACAACATGACCAAGTGAGATTTATTCCAGGGATGCAAGGCTGGTACAATGTTTGCAAATCATTAAATGTGACACATCACATTAACAAATTGAAAGACAAAAATCACATGATCATATCAATAGACGCAGAAAAAGCATTGGACAAAATCCAACAACCATTTTTGATAAAGATTCTTAGCAAAGTGGGAATAGAGGGGTCATACCTCAACATAATAAAGTCCATAGATGATAAATCTACAGCAAACATCATACTCAAAGGGAAAAAAATAAAACCATTTCCCCTAAAAACAGGAACAGGATAGGGATGTCCACTTTCACCACTCTTATTCAACATGGTACTAGAAGTCCTAGTCACAGTGACCAGATGAGAAATAAAAGGCATCTAAGTTGGAAAGGAGGAAGTAAAACTGTCTTATTTGTGGATGGCATGTACACAGAAAACCTAAAATCTCCACCAAAAACTCCTAGATTTAATAAATGAATTTGGCAATGTAGCAAGATACAAAATTGACACCCAGAAATCAATGGCATTTTATACACCAATAATGAATTATCAGAAAAAGAAACTAAAAAAAAAACAAAACAATCTCATGTACCACTGCAACAACAACAACAACAAAGTTAAGATACTTAGGAATAAACTTAACCAAGCAGATAAAAGATCTGTATTCAGGAAACTACAGGACATTGGAAAAAGAGATAGAAGAAGCTATAAACAAGTGGAAGAATATACCATATTCATGGATTGGTAGAATTAATATAATTAAAATGTTCATACTATCTACGGCAATCTGCAGATTCAATGCAATCCCTATTAAAATACCAATGGTTGGGAGAAACCAAGATGGCGGCATAGGTAAACACTGGAGTTTGCTGCCTCGAACAACCACTTCAAAAATACAACTAAAGACGGAACGGACATCATCCTGAACCACAGGAAGGCTGGTTGAGTGGAAGTTCTACAAGTAGGAGGAAAGAGAAAAACATACCGAGACTCAGAGGAGGCACAGTGCTGAAGTAAAATACTAAGGTGCGGAGTGCATGCAGAGCAGGCTGGCGGCTGAGGGCGTGGTTGTCATTTTCAATCAGGAGGGAGTCTCAGGCTCTGAGCTCCAGTTCCGGGCGAGTCTCTAGGGACCCAGACTCATACGGGAGAAGCGGGACTGTCTGGCATCGCTCAGAACCCTAGGGCAGCTTTCTCTCCATGGGGCTTGCAGCGATTACTGGGACACTGAGAAGCAGAGCCTCTGAGGGCAAGACTGAGAGCATCCATAATTGTTAACCCCGCCCTGTTGATCCCGTGGGACCCGCCCCACCCAAGCCCTGCAGGGAGACTTTTGCTGGTTAGCCTCAGGCAAAAGCTAGATTAGAACCTCCCTAGAGATCCAGGAGCCAAGAAGCCCTGAGGTGAGAGTGGAACCATAAAAGACACACTCAGGGGGAAGACTCAGTGAGCACCAAAGCCCTATTGAAGCAAGTCTAGTCCCAGAGGGGTGTCTCCAGCACAGAAGTTCTCCCACTGCAGACACAGCTGATTCTCACAGCCAGTTGGCCTGGAGGTCAATTCCTCACAGTGATAACTACAACAATCAAGGCTTAATTACAACAAGACTGTGCACAAAGCCCACAAGGGGGTGCACCAAGAGTGTCTACCTCAAGTAATTGGGAAACTTAGCACACA